CGACGCCTGCATGGTGTAATGCGTTCCAGACAGAGTTGAGCTCCACAGAGCTGTCGAATGCCTTCGCATAGTCGATGAAGCAGAGAAGGAGTTGCTGCTTGTATTCTTTGCTCCGCTCGATCAGCTGCGTGACGGTGTGGATGTGGTCCATACAACAGAAGCCCTTGCGGAACCCGGCCTGCTCCACTGGTTGATAGTCGTCCAGTTGCCTTTCCAGTCTGTTTAGAATAATCTTCGTGAACAGCTTGTACAACTGTGAGAGGAGCGCAATGGGACGATAGTTCTTCATTTGATCGCGCTCGCCTTTCTTGAACAAAAGCACCGTATTTGACGTCTTCCACTGGTCCGGGATCTTCTGCTCGTCCAGGTACTTATTATAGCGCTTGGTGAGCTGCTTGATGACAGTGTAGGACGCCGACTTCAGAAAGTCCACTGAGATGCGGTCCGGTCCGGGTGCTTTTCTCGGCTTCATCTGACGTAAGGCGTGCTCTATCTCCCACTCTTCTATCCGCGGAGCCACCTCTTGTGTTGGTGTAGGGATACGGGAAACCGGTGTCGTCGATCGGAAGAGGTCCGTATAGAAGCTGACGGCAATCTCCTCAATCTTCGTTCTCGATGTCTGCGGTCTCCCCATCGCGTCTCTCATGACAGTTATGATCGAGCGAGAGTCACTTATGTCCCGACGACATCGCTTGAGGCTCGCTCTCACTTCTGCCGCTTCCTTCAGTCGAGTGTCTTTGTATCGCTTAATCGACTCCTTCACAGCGTATCGGCACGCTTTGTTAATCGTAGCACGTTCCAGTGGTGTGGATGCAGAGTTACGGTGGACGGCAGCCCGTTGTTGGAGGAGTGTACGAGCATTGTCATCGATCCTACTCTTCGAGTTCATTCTTCCTGTCACAACCGATGCCGTTGCGCACTGTACAAGTCCTTCTACAAGCAAGTCGTAGTCCTTTGACAAGTCCTGTGCCTCCTGCCATGTAGTTAGGCAGCGCCGCCTCCATGGCGTTTATGTCGTACTGCGGCAGTCGTATGGGTGGAGGTCGATAGTGGTCTCGTCTTCGGAGTTTCGCTCGGAGGCGAACTTTGGCCCGGACGAGTCTATGGTCGCTTCCGGTGCGGAATGCATCTACCACACTGACGTCTAGCAAACTCCACTTTCTGTTCGTGAGAATATGGTCGATTTCGCTGTGAGCTGCTGCGTTAGGGCTCTCCCATGTCCACCTTCGGCCCACGTTTTTCATGAAGAGGCTGTTTCCGTGGAAGAGGTTGCATTGCTCTAGGAAGTCCATCAAACGGTCTCCGTTTTCGTTCGTATCTCCGACTCCGTGTGGTCCAATGCGCGCTGTCGCCGGCTTTTCCTCGTGAATGACTGCGTTGAAGTCTCCAACAACGTACTTGTAGTACGAACGCTCCTTCTTCGTAGCCTCCTCCAGCTCCTTATAAAACGTGTCTTGTTTCTCCTCTCCATCCGTTGCTGCTGACGTTGGCGCGTAACAGTTAATAATGCTGATAGAGGTGCGCTTGTCGATGCGTAGGCGGAGAACGGCCAGTCGCGGGCCGAATACCTCGGTTGAGTCGACCAAGTGCTCAATCCGTTGGTGGACGAGGAATCCGACGCCGCCAACGTTTCTTCCATCCACTTTGGCTCCTAGAACAAGTAGGTGGCCGTCGTTGGTCTTCCTTGTGGCTGTTTCCTTGGTTTTTGTTTCCTGGAGGGCGATGACGTCAAAGCGAAGCTTCTTGCTGGCCTCCATCAAGATGGTTTGGTCGGCCGCTGAGGCGATGGTACGACAGTTGTAGGTGCAAATTCGTAGACAGTCCCCATGCCTCGTCGGCTTTTCTTCCTGTGCACTCCAAATCCTGCGGCGGTTTTTGTCTGCAGGTCCCTTCAGGTCGCCGTTTGCTCCAGTGCACTTAGAGCTCGTGCTTCCATCTGCGCCGCTCCGGACCCTCTTTGTGCGTGTTGTAGCTAATATACCGACCCTCGGGTAGCTAGCCCATTGAGGCGGTGTTACCTCCACTATTAGCCGGGGTTTCTCCCGTTTCGCCCCCCTCGCCGCCGCTTTTTTTAGATGTACACAGAATAAAACTCAGGGCATAAAAGCCACGCAAACGATAACTAAACCCGCAAGAACCCCCTAACCTTTACAAAAGTCGAGAAGCTGGGAAGCACCCTTTGCTTAAGACCGTGCGGGTTGCTTTTATACGTGTTTTCGCACCTTAAGGGTCGGGTCATATAGCTTAAGGGAACCCCCCAAGGTGAGATTTGAATTTTAAGGGTCAGATTAGCATTTGATGGACCCCCCAGGATTGATCACGTAGATCAATACCCCTAGAACCCGCGAAAATGATGGTACCTGCTGATCGCCGCGCCTTCCCTTCAGCCATCGATTTTTGAGGTGAGGGCCGAAACCCCCGCCTCGGCGCACCACGCGGGGGTATTGACCGCGTAGATCAAAACCCACAGAGGTCCGAAAAGGGTGCGAGCTCCCTAGTAATCGCCACGCACTCGTCCTTCCTGTTGATCTTTGGGTCCTTTGCTGCAATCCACATGGCTTCAAGGGTTCTGCGAGCAGATATCTCCTGTTCGCATGCCAAGATCGTAACCTTCACCACCATGTTGGAATTTTCGTGATACTGCACCTTGTGGTCACCTAGAGGGGTGGAACTTTTGGCCTTTTTGAGTCCCGTCTAGGTGTTCCTTGATCCTTACGCAGAGCGGCCTTCCTGTTTCTCCTACATACTCCTCTCCACATAGTTGGCATGTTATTAGGTAAACGACTCCTGACATCATGCAATCGCCAGCTTTCCCAAAAGGGCAAATGACGCAGGAAGGGGTTAGACAGAGTCGGTCATAGAGGCGGTTCCGGACCAACTGTCTTTTCAAACTTGCGGGAGGAATCTCGACTATTCTCACAATATCCTGGAGATCCGCTTTTCTCAGACAGGCGCGAATCGCAGCGCTCGTGTCATCAGAGATGAAAGGGAAGCAAAATGGTATCTTTGCCTGCTCTTCTTGTTGTACACTTCCTGTCCTAGTTCGTCGCCCATGCCACGCCGAATGCCGAATGCAACTCTTGATGACCACTGGTGCCGAGCTATGAATTTCGCGACACTTGCGTTCTAGCGCCTTTTATCAGCCCTTATCAGTTGTGATCACTTTCTTTACCCCACCAAATATGTTCCCGTCCCACCCCCTATATCATATCTTGAAACCAACTCCTGACGACCACTGGTGCCCGAGCTATGAATTTCCGGTCAGACAGACAAACACATACACACACACAGACACACACACGCACAACCGCTTAGCCGATTATATATAGTAGGATAGGATATCAAAAGATCGGAAAGGCTGGTAAAGGTGAAACACGCTGTATCGCTGAACGGCATGCCTATTAGAAGCTATTGCAGATAGTGTCAGTCGTTGACACGAATCCATGGTTTTGTAGACATTTGTACTAGACAGTGACTCGGAGTACGGATTTGCTAGTGGTCGAGATTTTTTGAATTTTCTTGGATAACTACTGACTGCAGAACTTATATCCACCTCGTGGATTGAAGCCTTGAGAATGCTCTATCATTTGGTAGTCATAAATGTTACCTATGAATTTTTCAGAAAAAAAGAAAATTTTGGAAAGAGTGTTGCAGAACTTTCTTTCCAGCTTGAACGTGCCCTGAAGACGCTCTATTCAGTGAGGTTTTCCACATCGAGTAAACGTTAAGGTACAAAATTTTTCATGCGGGTTTTAGCTGTTTTCAAGCTGACGATAACTTCTCTAATTCTCAATTGCTCGGAAAAACTTTTAGAAAGTAGAAGAATTGCTCTTTCAAACGTTTGCCTGACTTGTTTCGAAAACTTTTCGCTAAGGAGAAATTTGCGTCAAGATAAATGACGCGAGGGCAGTTTTTTCTTCACTAAACCGCCCAAGAATTCGTATCCAATCCCTGACAAGGTAATCTTCCCTGAAACCTTCTCAAATGCTCAGGGACGCACCGCTTTACCGATTGTCTGGTCACCACTAGATAACCCTCTAGCGCCGTTGCAGTCTTCGGTCGGTATACGCCATGCCGTCGTTCTACACCGCCGTAATTTAAAAGTCCAATTGAGAGATTTTGTGTTGTGCATGATGCACTCCAGCCTTAGTTGCTTACACTTGCAATTTTGGCTGATAAACTGAAACTTGTGAATCTTTATGTCACGCATTCAATGACGGTCTATGGACTGAGTGGTAGAGGAAATGCCGATACAATACGAGATTCAAAACATGACTCGAGAGAAACACTGATGCCTCGATAGTTCTCCTCAGGCATCTTTTAACTACCTAGAGTTCTCTTCTTCTTCTTCTCCCTAGCGTTAGTCCCGCGCAGTCGCAGGGTCCGCTGTCTTTATCAGTCGTCGCCACTTCGCTCTGTCTAGGGCATCTTCTGCTGTGGCCGTGATTTCACTTAGGTCCTTCTTGATTACGTCCTTCCACCTCTTCTTTGGGGCACCTCGCGGTCGCTTGCCTTGCGCTTCGAAGTCCATTGCTTTCCTTATTGGGTGGTCCTGTGGCCTCCTTAGCACGTGCCCATACCATCGCAGACGCTGTTCCCGTACCTTCAGCTGGACAGGGGCAGTCTGCATGACCGCTCTAACATCTTCGTTTCTAACTCTGTCCAGCCGCGTCCAGCCGCAGGCCCACCTCAGCATCCTCATCTCAGCGGAGTGAGCTGCCTTTCGTGATTCTTGTTCAGGGGCCAGCACTCGCTGCCGTATAGCATCGCAGGCCTCACCACTGCCCGATACACCTTTCCTTTCAGTGTTCTGGAGCACCTTCGATCGCAGAGGATCCCAGTGGACTCCCTCCACTTCATCCAGGCCGCGTTGATTCGTGCCTTTACTGCCTGATCCACACTTCCGTCGGCTGCCAGATCGCTCCCGAGGTATCTGAAGTCCTCCACTCTTTCGATGATCTCTCCATGGCCGTCCACGATCGGCTCTGCACCCTCTTCGGAGCTCAGGAACTTGGTCTTCTTGACATTCAGCCGTAGCCCACCTTCTGTCAGGACTTTCTGCCATTTCTGCACCTTGGCTTGAAGTTCCTCTCTACTATCCGCTATCAAGGCGATGTCGTCAGCGTAGAGGATGGTCTTCAGTGGTCCTTCCATGAGCCCTTCACCATGGTATCTAGTGTTAGGAGGAAGAGGAACGGGCTCAGAGCTGACCCTTGGTGCACCCCAACCGTGATGTCCACTTCCTTCGTTAGGCCGTGTGGGGTGCGTATAGCTGCCTTCGCCCCATCGTACATGTCCTTCACCAGAGAGATCAGGTGTTCTGGCACATTCCGCTCCCTGAGCGCTCTCCACAGTACTGTTCGAGGTAGTCGGTCGAACGCCTTCTCCAGGTCGAGGAAGGCTAGGTAGCAGGGTCGGCGCTTTTCTCGGTACTTTTCCATCACTTGCCTCGCGATGAAGATGGCATCCGTAGTAGACCTTTCAGGCATGAACCCGAACTGTTCCTGAGAGATCGGGACCAGCTCCCGCAGTTTCGAGTCGACCAGTCGCTCGTACAGCTTCATTGTATGAGCGGTCAGCTTGATGCCGCGGTAGTTGGAGCAGTCCATCGCGTCACCCTTCTGCTTGAAGATGGGGACGATAGTACTTGTTCTCCAGGCATCCGGCATCCTCCCTTCGGTGGTTACCGTGTTCAGGAATTGGGTAAGCCATCCGATCCCCATACCCTCCGAGCGCCTTCCATGCCTCGATTGGCACCTTATCTGGACCCACCGCCTTTCCAACCTTCATCTTCCTTAGTTCTTGACGAACCTCATCCTCTGTCCATAGTGAGATAGGGCCAGCCGTCGCCTCTGGCTTGTGAGTGCTTTGTGGGGGTACTCCTCGTTCAGGAGCGCTTTGTAGTACTCCTCCCACCTCCTCCTGACTTCAGTTGGCTTCCTCAGGATGGCACCGTTACTGCTCTTCACGCTCTTCACCACCCTAATGTCTTGGGTAGCCCGATGCCGGGCTTTGGCCAGTCTGAAGACGAACTTTTCTGCGTTTCGGCTCTCTAACTTCTCGTACAAGGCGTCCATTTCCGTGTTCTTCGCCTTGGCGACGGCTGCCTTAGCGAGCCTCTTGCAACTCTTGTAGGTAGCGAGGTCTTCGGGGCTCCGGGTCTTCTGCCAGCGCTTGTATGCCTCCTTCTTCTGCTTCACGACTCGCTGGACCTCCTCGTTCCAGAACCACGCTGCCTTGTCTCCTCTGAATCCACCTCGCGTCTCCCAGTACCTCCTTGGCGCATCGTAGGATGATCTCAGCTGCACTGCCCCAAGTCTGCTGCACTGGTCCCTCAGGATCTGGGAGACCAACTTCCATTATCCTTCGTTTGAGGTCGCTCTTCTCTGCTCGGTGCAACTTCCACCACCGGATTCTCCTCTCGGTTCTTACCCTTGTCTTCTTGGGAAGGTCTATGGCTATGTCTGCCAGGAGGGGCCTGTGCTGAGGAGCCAGGTCTTCGCCAGGAATTACCTTGATATCCTTCACAGTTTTGAGGGATGATCTTCTCACCAGTACATGGTCGATTTCCGTCTGTCTCCCTCCACTGCTGTAGGTGACTTCTGAGTCTCCCTTTTCGCGAAGAACGTGCTGCAGATTGCCAGATCGTGGGCAGTAGCCAGGTCCAGGACCCTCTCTCCCTCGGCGTTCCTCACTCCTATTCCTCTACCTCCGTGCACCTTTCAGACCTCTTCTGTCGCTGCCGACGTGCCCATTCAGATCACCTGCTATGGTCAAGTAATCGCTTTCCGGGATCGATCTGATGGCTTCGTCAAGCCTTAGGTAGAACTCGTCCTTCTCACTCTCGGGGCATCCGGTCTGCGGAGCGTACACTGATAGTATTGACCAGTACCCCTCCTTCGTGTCTATCCTCACAGCCATGATCCGATCGCTGATCCTGTTCACTGCGGAGACATAGTCCTTGAGCGACTCCGCTACCGCTATGGCCACACCGTTCCGCTTGGTGTCTTCCCCATTGTAGTAGAGTTTGACACCTTCTCCGATTTCCCTGGCCTTGGCCCCTTTCCATCGCGTCTCCTGAAGGCATAGGACTTGAATTTTTCTGCGCGTCATCAGATCAGCAACCTCTCGGGACCTTCCAGTTAGCGACCCTACGTTCACAGTTCCAATTCGAACTAGCTTCTTTGGCCGAGGCCGTTCCCTCCTCGGTAGCCCTCGCATACTGACCACAGAACTCGGGCGGGGGTTCTGCGCGCCACTTCCGGGTGACGTCCTAGCTTTATCACTGATTCTTTTGACAACTTTTAGACATGTTGGTGTGACTGGGGTATTCATCAGCCGGCCTGTCAACCTGGGCCTGACGCTGGTACTAGAACCATTTTTGCAATTTTTGCAAGGGCATGGTTTCGAACCTCGGCAGGGATCGAACTCGCGGTTTTTCAGAGGTGCAGACATGAGTCTAACCTCTTAACCACTCGGCTATCCCTGCCTCTTTTAATACCTATAATAACAGTGAACATTTTATCTTCAATAAATGTTGCAGTGCTTCGTCTTCTTTCCCGTCGTTTTACTTCATGCCTTTTGAGATGATCAGGTACATAACCACGAGGAGGGCCGAAGAGCATTGGCGATGGGACCTGCTACTAATGAATCCTATTACATTCCCTTACGCATTGAGGTTTAACGAGAGAGGTGGTAAGACGCCCCCCCCCCGCCCACTTCCCCTAATCCTGTATCTTACAAATCGTCCGATACTGAGTCCGACAATTACGACCCCCCTCCGTTCCACAGACAGCGCAAATACGACCCCCGTCAGCGATATCCTCGAGCGAGTATTTCACGCCTAAGCCTGCCACCCTGTGCCGACCCTTAGTATCTCCTTATGATCGTCATGCAAGGGCGGCTCAGTTATCCGATTGTACGGGATCCAAGTTCTTGCCCTGTTTAATCGGACACTCAGAGCCTCTAATCTGAGTGTTGATTAGATATGGCCCTTCTGCAACCCCTCTTTGATTAGATATTGCTAAATGTTTGATTAAATTTTTTGAATGCTCCCCCAAACTTTCCCCTCGGAAATGAAGCACCTCGTCATAATCCTAATTGTCTACCTGACATGTCAGCAAGCCGCTCTCTAAGTTCTCCCTTCTGAAACCACCCCTGACAATTGATTAACTTCCTCCGGAATTTGAGTATACCTGTTGGTCGCGACGAAGGTCTTTCTATCAGCAACGAGACCGCCGAGTATCCAAGGTAAGCTTTTTTCATCAGCCGAGGATGTCTAGGGGAGAAAATTTCCACATAACCGATGATTCATTAATGGTTGCTTATATTGATCCACACAATCAGAGCATAAGAGCCCTCGTACTCCACTGTTGAATTGAACGACTCGATAAAATTTATCTGCCACGACGTCCCTGCATACATTCGTTATGAACCGCTGAACCACCATTCGACTCGGCCTTTACATTCACCAGCAATCTCTATAGACCGTCTCCTTTTCGAGAGCCGGAAGGTCATCCAAGCGCGAACTTGAATAGTAGCAAAAGAAAAATTTGATCAATAAAGACTACTCTTTGATGTTTCGAACAAGTAACGATCGAGAACGTCCCTCAGTCAATGGTCGAGAGTCGGCATCAGGATTTCGGATTTCTCTCCAAACATACGACAAAGCACAACTGGTTGGCATGCGATTTCGCAATTGGAAGATCCTGAACCATGAGGACCCCATTTCTCTGTTTTCTTCTTCAAAAAAAGGTGGCTAACGTAAGGAAATGCCAGAATAACTAACGAGGAAAAGTAAAAGGAGGTTAAGGAATTAATGAAGAAACTTGAACTAGCTTACGTTGTCCAAACACTTTATAGATGAAGGATAAAGCATTTGCCGTTGATCAATCCCTTTTGGGATGCGGCACGCATTCTACTTCCATTTGTACATTCGTAGTGGCGTTTGAATGCGATGTGGCCTATACAATGACTTGGGGGCCAGCCGATGTTCAAGTCAGTGTTTTTATCCTCCAGACAAGTCTGGTACCAATTAACCGACCCCGGAGGGATGGAAGGCTTGGTTGGCCCGGGCGACTCA